ATCAGCGTCGCTGAGCGGGGTCGCCCTGTCGGCTCCCCCCACTACCTGCTCGCTTCTCCGTCCTGTATTGCTCCGCCAGGTCTATCGCGTCGTCGTCCGCCAACGCATCTAGTCTCATGGTAGGCGCATCGTCTCGAGTCATCTCTCTGGTATGCCTGCGTATGGCTTCCGACGCCGGTACAAGGTAGTTCACAAAATGTTGCAGAGGTGTATCACTGGAAACAAAAGAGTTTACTTTTGGAACGTTTTGGTTTTTTGAAAAAAGATAGGTAAAGCGGATAACACCAAAAGTCCAAGGCTTGCCTATATTCCAAGGGTCACGATTAAATGTTGCCAGTTTGAAAATTTTCAAAAATTTGCCAAAACTGCCTTTTCAATGCCCTATGTTAACCTACTCTTTTGTTTCTTGCCCAATGCCTAACCTCCCCCATTACGGGATTTTGCAACGTGTACGACCACGATCCACTGCCCCCTTCCCCTACCTTGTCTTTTCCACTTCAAATCACCATGTGCCCTGTCACTCCTCGAGCCCCGCGTACCGCCACTTCTCCCTCTATTCTGTCACCCTTCGTGGTCGGCCCTTCTCACGATCGGTTCCTTCACCTGGTCGCCCTTCGTGGTCGGCCCTCCTCAAGGTCGGTCCCTCCACTCGATCACCCTTCGAGGTCGGCCCTCCTCATGGTCAGTCCCTCCACTCGGTCACCCTTCGCGGTCGACCCTCCTCACGGTCGGTTCCCCCGCTCGATCACCCCTCACTATCGGCCCACCTCTCGGTCAGTCTTCGTGTCGTCGGTTTCTCACAACCCTCGTTTTCTTCATTATTCCTTTCGTTGGGCTAAAGCTGCACTTGGGAATGGGGGAGGACTGGCATGGGTAAGCCATAAAGGATATAGCCCACCACTTAAGGCCCAATACATAATTCAAATACTAAAACCCAACGTTGCTGGAGCTCAATGTGGTATTAAGAACCAATGACATCTAAACACGTGGCAAGAGAAGGACAAGCCACATAAGCAGACAAAGATCTTGCAAAGTTATTGCACTGCACATCAGCCATCAATGGAGTTTCTTACAGTATTTATTGCGATAACCCTTCTCCGTCGGGATAGAACAACTTCACCATGAACAAGGTAAGTTAGAGCAAAGACTTTTGACCAAGGTGACAGGTTGGAAGGGACAATGAAATGATTAGCAGAGGATATAAGCCGGCATCGAAGACAAAGAAAATGTTAAGCTTTCTATCACTAATCTATCGCTACATTTCATCTCTTGTTTTAACTTGCTCGTCGGAGGGTTCGTTGGGGGACTCCCCATTCCCTGTTGAACTCTTGTACAGGTCTTTCTACGGGCTTAGTACCTTAGGCACTAATTTGGAAAGTATGGATCAGTCTGACCCATTCTATCTGAAACACACAGTATTATCAGAATGCAATGGTGCTCTTGTGCACCACTTGATCCATCCTTGAATGTCATATGCAGAGTGTGAAAGTATATGGTAATAATTTTTAAAAAATAATAATATATGTGAATAGAGTATGGGACACATATGCAGGAGCATGAAGGAGTCAAAGAAGTCACAATTGGTAAATTGTGTGGTGGCGGCTCCGTCTAACATCTTGTTGAGAGCTGAGCCGAGCATCGTCTGATTGGAGAGAGGGAGAGATTTCCGCGTTTCGGACATTTTCTTTGGTATAATTTGTGAACTTGTTAAAAATTAATTTTTTTGACTTTTTATTAGGGTAAATTATAAATATTTTTTCGAGATTTAGTAAAAATATAACTTTTTTTTTGAGATTTAAGAAATTACATCTCACTCCTGAGGCTTATATTTTTATAACAAATTGCCCTATGAAGTTTTTATTTTCATACAGATTCCTCCCTAATTTCTCCTAATTTGTTATGAAAATTTGACTCTTAGGGGACGATTTGTAATTTTTCAAACCTAAGGGAGGAATCTGTATTTTTATCAAACCTTGAGAGGTGTGTTTGTAATTTGCCCTTTTTATTAAAGGGTTGTTTGGAATGACTTAAATAAGTGTATTTTTTATCTTTTTACAAAAAAAATGTATAGAAAAATGGAGAGGTGATGTGATAAAAAAAGATAAAAAGATAAAAAGATGGATTACTTTTAGATTGCCAAACTTGACCTAAGTTTTCTTAAAAAAATCACAAAAAATCATCAAAAAAAAGTCAACTTTTTTTTATCAAACAAGCTACAAAAAAAAAAAAAATTTAAAAATCAAAAAATTAATTTTTTACTAACTTTCTAAAATGTCGTTTTCATAAGAAGTGGTGATTGAGATTATACTACTCCCATAAATTTGAATCATTCATGATATAGATTCCAAACATATATACTATCCGTTTGGCAAGAGCTAAACGGGGCTTTTTTGGCTATTTTAGCCACAAAAGACAAAATAGGCTATTTTAGCCACAAAAAACAAAACATGTGTTTTCAGGTAGTAAAGCGACGTCGTACGGAGGAGCGTGGACTTGGTCAACACGATTATACGAGGAGAATTATTTTCTCCCCGTACAATTGGCGCCCATTCTCAAAAGGAATCTCAAACATTTCCTTTTTCATAAGGCTTGGTTTGAGAATTGTATTAGTTTTTTTCACTTTTTTAATTTACGTTAGGTTTTTTTAGTTTTTTTTTAACTTTTTATAAAAGAAAAAATAAGATAATTATGATTTGAATGTAATATTTTATTTTCTTAATTTTTTAGCCTATTTTTTTCTTTGACTATGTTAATCTTTTAATCCCAAAACTAACTTGTCAAATGAAGACTAAGGCCTTGTTTGGTATGATTCAAAAAAGTAAAAAAGTTATTATCTTATTTAAGTCACATCATTTCTCTAACATATAACTTCAAATTCAATCCATACCAAATCTATACTTCATAGAAAATCAAAAAGTACACTTATTTAAATTATTCCAAACCACCCTAAGAATTGTTTTAAAAAGTAGATTAAAAACTAATTTTTTAATTTTTATTTTTATTTTTGAAAAAATATAGTATAAAAAAATAAAAAAAATTATTTGACTCACAAAAAATAAAAAAATAAAAAAGACGATGTCACCGCGGGATTCTTATATTTCTGTTGCAGGTCAGTTAGGTGCCATCTATTCTGCCAGTACTCTCCAGCTGGTTACTAAGCGGGCAGTGTGGTCGGAAAATCACCCACACAACTCTTAATTAACTAAAATTAAATTCATAATAAAGGCATTTATACCGTCTCCCATTTTTAAAAAAAAAAAAAAAAAAAAATCACTTCTTTTTTTTAAATTTGTTTTTGTCTTTAGTTATTTTTTTTACTGATCTAATTTTTTTTTTTTAAAAAAAATCACTAAAGAGGATAATAAACAAAAAAGATTGTTTATTTTGGTTTATTTTTATCTTTTCATTTTCTTGCTTGTTTTATCGAATTGAATCTAGAAACTTATAACTTTTTGATTTTTTTTTAAAATTCACTAAAAACGAAAATAAGTCAAAAGAAAAAAGTGTAAAAAAAAAACTTCCCAAAACACCCCCAAATAGTTTTACATATTCAGGAAATTTTTCAAAATTTTTACTATCGAACAAGATAAAAATATGTTAAAGTTTCAATTAGTATATTACATAAAGTTGTTTTGAAAATTTACTATTTTAATTATTTTTTTAATTTTTTTATAAAAAACATGAAAAAAAAATCGATAGAAGAATTTACAGTTTTTTTAGTGATTTTTTAAACTAAAAAAAGTATGTTGCCAAAACAACCTGAGTTTACGCACAAGATGAATTTAGACTGCACATCAACATTTTTAAAAATAAAATTGTAGACAAAACAATTTAAATATGTAGTCTGATTGGAGAAGATAAATGAGAAAAAAATTAGAACACTTGAACCAAAAGCTAAGAGTATTTCCAATCGAATAATTAAAATTGTGTCAAAGTATATTTTAATTGACAAAAAGGGTAAAAGTGAAATCTAATGTTATGCATTAAGGAATTGTTTGGTAACAGGTTAAAACAGTAAAAAAATATTTAAAAACAAAAATAAAAAATTTGTTTTCATTCTTTCTATATTTTGCATATTAAAAAAATCACTTCCAAGCCAACATATTAAAAATTTCACTGCAATCCTCCCGCCACATTTCTGACTGATTATTATTTTTGCCCTGGTTTAAAACACAAGTTAGGGCATTATCATTCCAAATTTCTTGTTTTTTTTTTCATCTATGCTAAATAAAGCAAACTACTCATATTACTATATAATTGTCGTAACAATTGACCATATTCATTCTGGAGTACTGTATTTAAATTTATACCATACATCTCAATTGTTCTTAAATAAATGTTTAAAACTTTAAAAAAACTCTCATAATTTGATCACAATAATATCGTATGATAAATATTTATTTTAATTTATTATACACCCAATAATATAATGCAAAACTTTCTTATCATGTGAATTTATGAATTTGAAGTTGTGATTATATAACACTCTCTCCTTATTTGTTTGAGGATATTACAAATCAGTGCATTTCTACAAAAATAATGAATCAATGAAAAACCTTATCAACATTTATAACTAGAAAAATGATTCATCCCCAAATCTCACCCCTCCCCCCAACACACACACACACACACATAAATTCCACTCCCATAAAATTAGAGGAAGGTAAAAATAAGAGAGAGATGAGCATGAGATCGTTTCACATGGGTCTTAATTACGCCATTGGAATGGAATTAAAAAACCTCAATTAGAAAGATGTAACAGGAGTATAATAATTAACGTCATAATTTTTTTAATAATTCTGTAATTATTATTATTTTTTACACAACATATTGTTGTAATTTCTCCTATTTGTTTCTTTCTTTGGAATTTGTATAGTATAGAAACAGTGTCAAACTGGGTACGGCTATTGGAACTAATAATTATGTAGTTTTTATTAGTGAAGGTGACACTTATTAAACTATGATCATCTTAACAAAGAAGCATCATCGAAGAACAGGTCTCTTCTTTGTTTTCTACCTCACTCCAGACAACAATACACGCCTCAATAACTGTCACTACCTTCCTCACAAAACCCCCAATATATATACCACCCCCACATTCCTCACAACAACACGAACTCAAACAACAAAAAAAAACATAAAACGCCATTGACAAAAAACTTCCAAGCTCAAGAACTCTATTCCTATGGATAATATCAAGTCCTTCAAAGGCTACGGCAAGGTTGACCCGGTCGAAGAACGAGCATTCAAGCGAAAAACCCGAAAACGTATCGTCATCGTCATCATATCCTCCATCGTACTGGTGGCTGTCATCATTGGATCGGTGGTTGGAACTGTAATTCACAACCGCAACAACGATAACTCCGGCAATACTCCGTCCTCTTCTACCTCCCCCGCCGCCTCTCTCAAAGCGGTCTGTAGCGTAACCCAGTACCCAGATTCGTGTTTCTCTAGCATTAACGCTCTCGAAGCCTCCAATTCTACCACAGACCCGAAAGAGCTCTTCAAGCTCTCGTTGAAAGTGGTCTTCGACGAGCTCTCGAAGATCGCTTCGTTTCCCGATACTCTGATTTCGCAAATCAATGATACCCAAGTCCAATCGGCATTGGAGGTTTGCAAAACTGTGATCGAAGATGCTGTGTATCGACTCAACGATTCGATCTCTTCCATGGATGCGAACCCAGGAGAGAAGATTTTAACAATTCCAAACATCGACGGGTTGAAGACGTGGCTGAGCGCAGCCATTACCGATCAGGAGACCTGTTTCGATGCTCTGATGGAAGCGAATTCGAGTTTGATCGATGAAGTGAGATTGACAATGAAGAACTCAACAGAGTTCGCTAGCAATAGTTTAGCCATTGTTGCTGAAGTAATGGCAATAATGGTCGATGTGAATGTTCCAATTCATAGAAAGCTTTTGGGGGTTTCGGATTCTGGGTTTCCGGAATGGGTTGGGGCGGCGGAGAGGCGGCTGCTTCAGGCGGCGACGGTGAAGGCAAATTTGGTGGTGGCGCAGGATGGAAGCGGAAACTATAGGACGATCGGAGAAGCGGTGGCGATGGTGCCGAAGAAGAGTAAGAGTAGGTTTGTGATATATGTGAAGGCTGGAACGTATGTTGAGAATGTGAATTTAGATAAGAATACTTGGAATGTTATGATGTATGGTGATGGAATGAATCAGACCATTGTTTCCGGCAGCCTCAATGTCGTAGACGGCACTGCTACCTTCCTTTCAGCCACCTTCGGTAAATTTCTCAACTCATGCTTCGTTCTTTCGTCTTCTTTTTCTTCATGCAACCATTTTTGGTTTTACGTAATTGGTGTTATAGGATAATAAACAGAGTCGAGTACGCTGAGGCCCTGTTTGGGTGCTTAGTTATTTTAATTGATTTTTTTGACTATTTACCTTGATTAAAAAAATTACGATTGGGATGGTAGTTAATTTTTTTTTGATAATTGAATTAATAGTTGTGAGAAAAAAGAAATAAAATAATTATGATTTAAATATGATATTTTATTTTATTTATAATTTTAGTTTACTTTATTTTTATTGACTATCTTAACAAAAAAAAATCAAAAAAAATTCATATCCCAAACATGCCTGAGTAATAAATTGTTGAAATTTCACTTGTTGATAACCACATATGATTTGTATGCCACCACCATAAAAAAAAAAACCACCAAGCCATTTGGGCTTCCTTTGGGAAGGAAATTTGGATTAAAATAATTATGTAGGACAAAATTAGTTAATTTAAATAAATAGAATAAAATGTCACATTTAATTTATAATCATTTTATTATTTTTTTTATAAAAATTAAAAAAATCAAAAAAATCTATCATAAATAAAACATTTTAATCCTAAACTAAAATAATTAAAAAACTAAAAAATTAACCCCATATCCCAAATCAACTCATGGTTTGATGGCTTTGCATGCACGCATGCCTAAAACATTGTTTGAATGTGTTTGCACAGCTGGGCCACACGAGATAGATCCCACAATGTGCAAAGTCTAGTTTTAATTAATTAATTAATATTTACTGTGTAAGAATCTTTTGTCTCTAAATAACATTTAGTGTGTTTAGTTTGAGTTTTTTGAATTAAATTTTTTAAAAATTAAATTTTTTAATTTTTGTATTTTTTGTTTTTAGTGAATATTTTTAAAATTTTAAACATTTTTTACTTTTTTTAGATGCACCTTACTTAAATGTATCTAAAAAGTAAAAAATTTGTGAAAAAATATTTTAAAATATTAATAAATACATAAAAATATAAAAAATGTACTGAATTCTTGTATTTTTTTTTATACTTTTGGTATTTAGTGAATTTTTAAAAGAATTTTTTTACAATTTTATTATTTTTTAAATGTATTTATGTTAGGTGTGTCTAAAAAATAAAAAAATTGCTTAAAATATTAAAAAAATTCAGTAAAAACAAAAAAATACGGAAAATAAGAAAGTAGAATTTTCTGAAAAGTGTTTTTGAAAAATTGGAATCAAGCAAGCTAATTCTTTTCTGTCTTAATTTACTCACAATCATTGGATATATCTTAAAATTTTTACATCTTAAAATTCTCATATAATCCAATGACAATAAATGAATTGAAACAGGGGACAAATTATTTAAAAATAGAAGATCCTTGCACATATTTAGGCCAAGTTTGGGGGCTTTAAAAAAAGTCAAAAAGCCAAAAAGTTACTCAAAAAGTTAAAAAGTCAACACTATTCACCAAAAGTCAACAATTACGGCTGCACAACTCCCAATTCAAATTTTTCCCTACCACAACTCCCAATTCAAATTTTTCTCTACAAATCAATTTTTACAATTTTTTATTACACATTTTTCAATAAAAAGTCAAAAAGTTAACCCAAACATCCATATTTTCAACCTCAACTTTTTAGTCCAAAAAGACAAAAAGTGCACTTTTTTAGTCTTCCCAAACTTGTACACTTTTTGTCTTTTTGGACTAAAAAGTTGAGGTTGAAAATATGGATGTTTGGATTAACTTTTTGACTTTTTATTGAAAAATGTGTAATAAAAAATTGTAAAAATTGATTTGTAGAGAAAAATTTGAATTGGGAGTTGTGTAGCCGTAATTGTTGACTTTTGGTGAATCGTGTTAACTTTTTAACTTTTTGAGCAACTTTTTAATTTTTTGACTTTTTTTAAACTACCCAAACTTGGCCTTACTTTAACATGCATATTTAATTAGTGGTGATGTGTCTGAAATATGGATCTATGTATTGAATTGGAAAAGAAAAGAGAGTATATATATTTCACACACTTTTTTTAAAAAAATTTTAAATTTTTATTCAAATCTATGCTCTAAATATGTCAATTTTTTAAAATTTCTTTTTTAGTGAATCTTTTTAATTTTATTCAAAAGTTTATAACTTTTTAACTAGTCTTGTATAGACGAATTTAAAAAGTTTAAAAAAAATAAAAAGATAAATCAAAAAAACTAATTATTTTTTTTGGGGGGTCTTATATGGACTTTTTACCATTTTTAATTTTTTTTTAAAAACTTCTTTAATCTGTCTAGTTGAGTAGAATCTAAAAGCATAATTTTTTTTTATATATTTTTAAAAAATTACTAAAAACAAAAAAAAAATTTAAAATCTAAACAACTACGATTTTCTTGAAAGGGAAAGACAAAAATGCTAAAACCCCAAGTAAATTACTTTTTTACACAATTGTGTAAAATATTCATTGAATTTCCTTGGTATATTTTGGGAAGATAAAAAAAAGGCTAACTCTTGGTTTATTTTTAAAAAGTCAAAAGCCAACATATTTGTGTAAAAAATCATTTGACAAGTCGAGAATAAGCCAAATTTTGAAATTATGAAAATATCCTTTTATATATGAAAATATCATTCTATGTATGAAAGAGAATTAGGATAAAATTATAATTTCACATAATTTCATGGGGTAATATGATTAATTTATCTCTTTACTTATTGATGTGACAGCATATAAAAATAATTTTGGAAAAAATAAAAAAAATAGCTACGTTTTTTTTTTTCATCTTTTCGAATGGTTTTTGACATAAGCCAAAAAGCAAAGAAATAAGCAAAAAAAAAAACACTACTTATTTTCATCTTCCTAAAATAGCCTTAAAAACTCAACCCCAAGACTTGTCCAAAAGTCTAATTTAGTCCTCGTTTAGCATACAATATTCTAAACTTAAAAGTTAAAAAATTATTAAAAAAATCAAAAAGTTTATAATTTATACTAAAAAATTAAAAATTTTATTTTCTCTCTATTTTTTTATATATTTTCCAAATAAACTAATTTTTATACATCATATTTTAATTAAAAAATAATAAATTATTAAAATAACTTATTCTCGAGACTTAATTGCTGTAATTTTCAATCACCTTAATCATAGGAGCAAGAAATAACATATGTGACTAAAGCAAAAATGTGTGTAAGTACAGATAGCAACATAGGGCACAACTAGTCAATGCAAATTTGGTGGCCAAACGTTTCGCTTTTTCCTTTAAAAAAAATAATAAATAAAAACTGTGTAGCATTTCTTCTTAGATGTCATTGCCAATATATATACATACTCTTTCCGTCTCATTTTGATAGTTCATTTTGAAATTTTTTAACTTTTTAAGGAGACTAATAATCATTACATTAGAATTTAAATTTTAAAATATTAATTCTAAAAATATCCTTCTACTCTCATTTTAAAATTTTGACTTTTCAAAACTAGACATATGTTTTGGGATAACAAAATTTGAGATAATGGACTAATAAAATGAGATGGAGGGAGTATATAATAATGTCAATTTATTCATGTTTAAATTCATATTTTAAAGCTTAAGTACTGATTTTTATATTTTCTATATATGTGAATACCAGCTGTTTCAGGCATGGGCTTCATTGCAAAAAATATGGGGTTTTGGAACACCGCCGGAGCAATAAAGCAACAAGCTGTAGCGGTCCAGTCTTCGTCCGACTTATCCGTGTTCTACCAATGCACTTTCAATGCTTACCAAGACACCCTTTACCCCCACGCCAACCGCCAATTCTACAGCAATTGCGACATCATCGGCACTATTGACTTCATATTCGGCAACGCCGCGGTTGTCTTCCAAAATTGCAACATCCAACCCCGACAGCCCTTAACCAACCAGTTCGACACCATCACGGCCCAAGGAAAGACTGACAAGAATCAAAACACTGGGATCTCTATTCAAAAATGTTTCGTGTCGTCTTTTGATAACCTTACAGCCGCAACTTACCTAGGTAGACCTTGGAAGAACTACTCCACTACAGTTGTCATGGAGACCAACATTGGTTCATTTTTGAACCCATTGGGTTGGGTTCCATGGAATGGTCCCGCTGACCCGCCTAGCACCATATTCTATGCTGAGTACCAAAATACTGGACCAGGGTCTAATGTGACTAACAGGGTTAAATGGACTGGATACAGATCCAATATTACAAAGTCTCAAGCCTCCAAATTCACAGTTAAATCTTTCATCGATGGTGACGTTTGGTTACCAACAACAAATGTGGTGTTTGATTTAACCTTGTGATTAGGAAATTGGTTTTGTTACCTGAAAGGTTTGCAATTTGTTTCAATATAGAAATTGGTGGAACATAGAATTTGTATTGTGTTTTTTGTTTTTTTACTGTCCTTTGTTCTAACTGTTCCTTTTAAGTTGTAACATTCTATTCTTTTGCTTATACTTGTATTCCCATGAAAGTTAAATGAAAAAAAGTTTAATGTTAATTGCATGCATATGTTTGATTCAGAATTAGCTATTTATCAATTGAAAAAATTGATAATCAAAAAATAGAAAACAAGAGAGAGAGAGAGAGGGAGTTGGCCTTGGAAACTTATTTAAGTTATTTTCTATTTAATAAAGGAGTGAGAAATTATGATTTAATGAAAAATTTAAAATATAATTACCAAAAAAACTTTAAAAAATTTAAATTATGAATATTTATAAAATTTATTTTTTAAAAATACTTATCGAGAGAGAGAGAGAGAGAGAGAGAGAGAGAGAGAGAGAGAGAGGGAGTTGGCCTTGGAAACTTCTTTGTTCTCCACCTCACTCCAGACAACAAGACACGCCTAAAAAACTGTCACCACCACCTTTTTCACGAAACCACATATACATATCACATTCACACCCCCCACAATCCTCACAAAAACGCCATTGACGAAGCTTTCAAGCTCTCAGAACTCTATTCCAATGGATACAATCAACTCCTTCAAAGGCTACGGCAAGGTCGACCCTGTCCAAGAGCAGGCATTCCGGCGAACAACCCGGAAACGCATCGTCATCCTCATCGTCTCCGCCGTCGTACTGGTGGCTGTCATCATTGGCGCGGTGGTCGGAACTGTAATTCACAAACGCAACGACAATAGCTTCGACGATACTCCGTCGTCTTCTACCTCCCCTGCCGCCTCTCTCAAAGCCGTGTGTAGCGTAACCCAGTACCCAGATTCGTGTTTCTCGAGCATTAAAGCTCTCGAAGCGTCCAATTCTACCGCAGATCCGAAAGAGCTCTTCAAGCTCTCGTTGCAAGTGGTTTTCCACGAGCTCTCGAAGATCGCTTCGTTTCCCGATACCCTGATTTCGATGAGCAATGATGCCAAAGTCAAATCGGCATTGGGGGTTTGCAAAACCGTGATCAAGGACGCTGTAGATCGGCTCAACGATTCCATCTCTTCTATTGATGCGAACCCAGGAGACAAGATCTTAACGGTTTCAAACATCGATGATCTGAAAACGTTTCTGAGCGCCGCCATTACAGATCAGGAGACCTGTTTCGATGCTCTGATGGAAGTGAATTCGAATTTCGTCGATGAAGTGAGACTAAAAATGAAGAACTCGACAGAGTTTACGAGCAACAGTTTAGCTATTGTTGCTAAAGTATTGGGAATTCTAGGAGATGTGAATGTTCCGATTCATAGGAAGCTTTTGGGGGTTTCGGATTCTGGGTTTCCAGAATGGGTTCGGGCGGCGGAAAGGCGGCTGCTTCAGGCGGCGACGGTGAAGCCGAATTTGACGGTGGCGATTGACGGAAGCGGAGATTATAAGACGATCGGAGAAGCGGTGGCGAAAGTGCCGAAGAAGAGTAAGAGTAGATTTGTGATACACGTGAAGGCTGGAAAGTATGTTGAGAAAGTGATTTTGGATAAAAATACTTGGAATGTGATGATCTATGGTGATGGAAAGACTCAGACCGTTATTTCAGGCAACCTCAATTTCATCGACGGCACGCCGACTTTTTCAACGGCTACTTTCAGTAATTTTCTCAGATTTCAACTCATTTTCATTTTTTTGTTCGATTTCAGTTACTTAGGGTTAGTTATAGAAATAATTACTTGTTAATGGTTTATGAATTATCTTTGGTTTGGTTTTGAGAAAAATTAGTTTGCTGAAAAAACTAAATTACTTATCATTTTTATCTTTTTGAATCGTAGGATCAATTTAAAAAAAATTTAAATATGTTTTTAATATTTATTTTTGTTAAATTAATTTATATATTTTTTTAAAATGAAACAATATTGGAAGAATAGATAGGATAGACCAGAGTCTTTCTTTGAGTGTGAACGCATTGACAAAAAAAAGTCGGCTTCCGTCATTTTTTCATATTTTCATAAAATGAAATTGTATGTAGGCTTCGTTTGGGAAGTTATGGTTTGGGTTTTTTTGGCTATTTTAGCCACAAAAAATAAAATAGATTATTTTAGTCATAACAAACAAAACATCACATCTAACCCATAATCATTACATTCTTCTCTCACAAAAAAATTCAAAAAAGTCAAAAAGTCAAAAAGTCTTTCCCAAACCAAGCTTTTAAGCCCGGTTAAAATAGCCAAAAAGGCCAAAAAGCCAACCCACTTCCCAAACGGAGGCATAATGATTTTGGTTTTGGTTGTTTTTCAAAAATTACTTTTTGACTATTTTTTGTTTATGGTATTTTTACTTTTTGTGATTTTTTTTAATGTTATTTTATTTCTTTTATTTTCATTTTGTTGATGCAGTCATTTTCTTTTACATAATTAGCATTAATTATAGAATTAATTAGTAATGATTGTGAATTTGGGCCTTGAGACAGTAGTGTATTGGAAGAAAAGCAAGGAATCGAACAGTATCAAGATCTCGAGGTTGAATTTGGGCCCACGGTCCACTTTAATGATCTAATTTCTTGATTTTCTATAATTTCATGTATAAATTATATTAAAAAAATAAATTAAATTGATTTTATAATTATAATTATATAAGTTAATTATATTTTTTGTAAAAAATTTTAAGTAATTTATTTTAAAATTATTTTACTTTAAAAGAATTAAATCTAATAAAATTATATAATTACAATTATGGAATCAATATATAGAGAAATAGAGAAATTCACTCCTAATTATGTCATTTTTTTTTATAGTTATGACTTTTTTTTTTTATAGTTATGTAACAATTTCTTTTATTACATATATAAGCACATATGTAGCTTCTTATATGAATTCACATATAATATAAAATTTAAAAGGAATGATAAAATTCATCCAATAACATATTAAAAGCCATATGGGTTTTGAATGCCAATGCCACCAACCCATGTGGTTTGATGCCTTTAACATGCATGCCCTAAAATCTTTGTTTGAATGTTTTTTTGGTGTTCTGGACTACACAAGATCCGCACCATGTGCAAAGTCTGATTTAATTAAATAAACTAATTAATTATTTTAATATGCATCTTTAGTGGTGATGGTCTGAGTGTTCTTCAATTATGAGACATACCATATTAATTTGTAGCCTCATCCATATGATATGATGTGTAGGGTCTAGAATAGATTGATGACTTTGATTTTCTTTATAAAAAAATAAAAAACACAAATCTGGTACGTGACAATGCTGGGCCGGCCGTGATGCAGAGTCATCACAATAATACCAGCTTAATTAATTATTGACGCGGCTAGTTTAATAAAAATGAATTGAGTTGTACAAGTTCTGACTCATTTATTAATCGAGCTTAAATCTAAATTTGAACTCGAATCGAATACATAATTGACTCAAGCTCAAGTTGGGATCATTAAGTTTTTTTATCAAGCTCGAGTTGAGCTAAAAGTTCCAATTGAACGTAAAAATAAATTTGTCGTATACATTATAAATATTATTTATGTTATTATATATATATACTTATGTAATACATTTTGTATTATAATTGATAAATGGTAATTGTGTCGAGCTTATCTTAGCTCAAACTCAACTTGTTTATTAATGGAGCTTGAATTTAGGCTTGAGCAAATACACAACTGAACAAGTCCGAACGAACTGAGCTAAACTTGAATTGTTCATGAATAATTTAACTCATTTTAAAACGCTCTATATTAATACTCAAGCCGAGTTTTAGGATTGTCTAACTCTTTTCCTCTTTCCTTTTACCTTAGAAAATGTGTTATTCTTTATTTAGTTGCAAAAACAATAATTCAACCCCCAAGACTTTTTCAAAAGTTTGACTTAATTCTGTAATTTTTAATCATCTTAATTATAGGATGAATTGTATATATACATATGGTACAACTTGTGTGGAAAAATAAAATGCTAATAACCTGTGATGATGACACATTAAGTGTAGTGGCTGATCTATATATTTCATACATAATGTCAATTAGTTCTATTATAACCATACCCACCTAAGCCGCCCATTTACGCATTTTGTTTTTGGAAAATGTTTGGTGGCCACAAATTCTGTGGCTCAAATGGCTCAAAAATGCCTAAACGACGTCGTTTTAGCATTTTCGGAGTTGTTTTGTACCCAAAACGACGTCGTTTTGATATTTTCGGGTCATTTGAGCCACAGAATTTGTGGCCACCAATCATTGCTGTTTGTTTTTTTTTAAGCCACCTTCTGATGCACATTATTTTTTTTTCAAGCCACCCTCTGGTGCACATGGTTCCTTTCCAAGCTGCCATCCTTTGGCGCCCACGGTTTATCTGCTGCCATCACCATTTAGCAACCGTCATAAGGCACGTTTGTTGGTTCAACACTCATTCTCCTAGAATGGTCCAATACGACAATAAACTATCTATCCATGTTTTATTTTATTTTTAATTGCATTTCATATTTTAGTTTCTCTCTTTAAACTCAAATTGGTATTCCTACTTGACTTTGAAGGGTGTTAAATAAAGTAACTATACATTATATCTATCATACATATCATATTATATTCATAATCATACTTAGATTTTGTTTTCTCCATATAAAGGAGTCTTATATACATTATTACAACATTCAATATAGTATTCTCTTTTTCTCTCTCTCTCTCTTTTAAAAATTGTAACAAGTTCATTGTTTAGATTAATGAATAATGTCACTTAGTTCATGCTTAGATTAATATTTTTAAGCCAAAGTGCTGATTGATATGTTTCGTACATGTGAAAACCAGCTGTTGCAGGGAAGGGCTTCATTGCAAAAGACATAGGGTTCTGGAACACAGCCGGAGCGGCAAAGCACCAAGCCGTGGCGGTCCGGTGCGCGTCCGACATGTCTGTGTTCTACCAATGTGCTTTCAACGCTTTCCAAGACACTCTCTACGCTTACGCTAACCGCCAATTCTATCGCAATTGTGACATCACAGGCACCATCGACTTCATATTCGGCAATGCTGCAGTCGTCTTCCAAAACTGCAACATCCAACCCCGACAACCCATGAGCAACCAGTTCGACACCATCACGGCCCAAGGAAAGAGCGATAAGAATCAGAACACTGGAATTTCAATTCAAAAATGTACCATGTCGCCTCTAGACAGCCTCACTGCCCCAACTTACCTTGGTAGGCCTTGGAAGAACTTCTCTACCACAATTGTCATGCAGACCAACATTGAGTCATTCTTGAACCCATTGGGTTGGGTCCCATGGGTCGGTTCCGCTGACCCGCCCAATACCATATTCTATGCCGAGTACCAAAACACTGGGCCAGGGTCAAGTGTGGCTAATCGGGTTAAATGGGCTGCATATAAGTCCAGTCTTACGATGGCTCAGGCCTCCAAGTTCTCCGTCCAATCCTTCATCGATGGTGGTGTTTGGTTACCAGATACAAATGTGGTCTTTGATTCAGCCTTATGATTTGAAAATTGTTTTTGTTAGGCGAAAGGTTTGCAATGAGTTTCAATACACAAATTGGTGGAACATAGAATTTGTATCGTGTGTTACCTTTTCTTTTTTTCTTTTTGTGTTTCACTGTACTTTCTTCTAATAGTTGGTTTTTAAGATGTAACATTCTATTCTTTTGGTTATACTTATAAAGGAAATTTTACTAGAAACACTCCTATCATATTTATTCTTAAGTTATGTTATTTTTTTCTTTAATGATGGTCAGTTTTTTTTTAGTTATATTTTATTTTAGTTATAACTCAAGAGAAATTTGGTTATGGCTCATCTGTTTTTTTGTTATAATTTTTCTTTTAATTATAACTCAAAAAATATATAAAATTATATCATTTTTTATTTAGTTATAAGGTATAAAGGTGTGTACTATAATCTTTCCCTGCTTGTTTGTTCTGATTTTTCTTAACTTAGTGTAAGCCTTTTAGTGGAAGGATTCCTGTGTAAATGTCGTTTGACGTCCCTGATCAAAAAAAAAATATATATATATATATATATCTAAAGAAGACTCATCAATTCAATAAAATATTGACTCCAATTACTGGGACACGGCTAGATTAAAGTTGGCTAAGTAATTACGTCATTCCTTCAAAGCAATTTTATCATACGGTATTTGATGTCATTCCTCACCATTTAACTTCTTGGCTTGTTCTCAAAAAAAAAACTTCTTGGCTTTATTTGCCTTTAATTCTCTTTTCACACTTTCCACTTCAATTGAAGTTTGTTTGATAGCAAACCAAAAAAAAAAAAATATATAAATAAATAAATTGAGGCTAAGGAAGCACTACTGAGAGCATCTCTAGGAAGTCACTATTTTAGTCAAAATAACTAAAAAGTTGCTTTTAAAAAGTTATTTTATTTTATTTATATATTTTTATAAAAATTTAAAAAATCACTAAAAAAATTAATTTTTAAAACAACTTTATGTTTAGAATTTTTATTTTTAATTATTGAGTAATACTATATAAACACAAATTCTATAAGGAAAATTGTGTGTAATTGTATTGTCAATTGCATCGCACAAGTTTTGTGGTTGCAACAATTAAGTAGGGACTAAAGGGGTTTGAGTGAGTCTAGTCACTAGGGTTTGGGTCGAATGGGTAGCTGGGTTGGCCCAGGATGGACTGAGGATGAAGTGGTGGGTTGAGGGGAGATGGATTGAGGGTGACACAGGTGGGTTGGAGAGTTGAGGGTCCATAAAGGGATTGTGTGTGTGAGGGTCTTAAAGGTGTTTTTTGAGTGTATTTTAATGATTCAAATTGTTCATATTATAAGATTTTGTCGAGTATATTATTTATATAAAAATGTAAGTTAATCGGATATCAATAATATCATGATCAAGTCTTAATTATTTTTAAAACATTATTAAAATCATGTTAACCGTTTATTTTTAAAAAAAATCTTAATGTTTTTATATAAATAATTTACTTGACAAATCTTGTAATATGAACGATTCAAACCATTTAAAAAGACTTGGGACACCCTTTCAATAGGCCTCAAAGCAAACTAATGTGCTTGTGTAAGAATTGTCAAGGTGGGCTGGCGAACATGAGAAAGCATTGAGGGCCTATTTGTTTTAAGAGGTAGGTGTCAGGATTGGACTAATAGTGAGGAAGCGATAACAATTATCATGTTTGTTTTCAAAATGAACCTCAAGATTCATAGTCTCTCATGACTATGAAAGGCCTTGGATGAGAGGACTAATAGTGATCTAGGGGAGGTGGTATTCAAAAATGAATCTCTTGGGACTATGGGTTAATTACCTGTTTTACCTTTGTGTTTATTGCCAAATTTGATAGTTGGAATCATTAATATTTATAAATAAAAAAAAAAAGAAGAGAGGAATAACATTGAGTAAAAAAATTTTGATAGTTGGATTATTTAATATTTAAAAAAAAAAAAAAAGAAGTAGAACAATAACATTGAATAAAAAATTATTTATCCTTTAGTTGGTATAAGCCTAAATTTGATAATAATGCAAAGGGTATTTGTGAAATTTTACATGGTTAATCACACTCATATCTCTCAAAATAAACATGAACTATTACTAGTCCACTTGTTATCAAACAAATATAAAATTTCTTAATCTCCTCATTAACGGTCCCCTCACTAATAATCTATTTCATTCTACCTCTGAAAACAAATGAGCCCTGAGGGTAGTGAGGGAAGGCAAAGGAAGTGGTGGGGTGCATGGAGGACGGGGTTCCATTAATTGCAAAATAGGTTGAAAGAGGCAAATAAGATTTTGGGAAGTTGATTAAGCCTTTGTTTGGAAGATGAGTTGGCTTTTTAACTTTGTGACTATTTTAGTTTAGAGCTAAAAAATCTCGTTTGAGATAAGTTTTTTAGTGTTTTTTGTGAAAAGAAAAAATAAAATGATTGTAGTTTGGATGTGATGTGATATTTTGTTTTATTAATTTTTTAGCCTCTTTTGTCTTTTTATGGCTATTTTAGCCCAGGCTTTTTATGCCAAGCGAAGCCTAAAAGTTAATTTTTTGATTTTTTTATGACTTTTTTTAATATAAAAAAATACAGAGGTGATGTGACCCAAACCAAGTTTCCAAATTGACCTTTTGTCTTTTAAAATAAAATTATGAGTTGGCTAGCTATCTGAAATTGTTTGGGATTTCTCAAATAAGTCACTTTTTTTCCTAAATATTTTTGTTTCTAGCAATTTAAAAAACATTTATGTCAAATTTGTTTATTTTTTCAATCCTGTTATGTAGCCCGTGCCTGAAGGCACCGCCAACAATTTTTTTGGTATCACGTGCTACGAAACTCAATGGTAATAAATCAATTCAAAATGATAATATCACTCCGACTTAAAACTTCACATATAAGAAACTGAAATTGCTTCTACACATTGAATTAGCGAAAGCATTTATAAATTTCAAAATGAAAGTCCAAAAAATGAATTATATATTTGAATGTAGCATATGCAAAGAATTTAGAAATATTTGCTAAACTTAAAGTCCAAATAACAAATTTTAGATTTTTGTCCATGTCAAAATGACGCATCTATACACTATAGCAAGTTAAAATGGGATGACTTTCAATAAAAGAATGTTATTGAATTAGTATCATAACTGGTAACCCTTTCACTTTATCAAGTTTAAATTCCTTCAAATAAAGGTCAATGAATCTTTTGATACAAAAGAACCATCCTAGCTAACCCAAAAATAAATAAATAAATAAATAAATAAATAATTTAACATGAGAGAGCCAACCAACGACACACCGGTAGAAGCAACGTAACTCAATGTTTCTAATATGAATCAATGACCTGCAACAAAATCACTCGCTTAAATTCGCTTCAAAAAACCAATAGCTATGAAAAATCACATCAAAATGCATATGAGAAATCGGAAGAAATTGTAATGAAGAATAATTGCATCAAAAGAAACTGTAACATGAAAAATCGCATCAAAATACATATGAGAAATGGGAAAATCAATAGCTATGAATTAAGAAGAATTGAATATAACTATTATGGTTAACTGAATTATGTCATTCAATGGCGAAGTGAGAATAGACATATGTATGCATTACTAAAGTAAACAAATCAATAGAAAAGCAAATAATAGTATAGATAGTAAACACGTGGCATGGTGACGCCGACGTGTCAGCCGAGGTGCCACGTGTCGTGGTAGTTAGGCCGAGGTGATCTCGGTATTGCCAAGGTTATCTCCGAAGATATCGGAATCCGAGATAAACGAATAAGGGACAAGAGTCCTAAGACGAAGAGGGGACTTAACCAAGATAAGGATAAAGCTCTTAAGGAGTTTATCTTTATCTCTTGAGGAGTCCAAAGTAAGCACATAATTGGAGTGCATAGAAGTCATACTTCTAGTGGGACTTGGATTGAGTATATTATAAAAGAGAGGCACCCCCGTGGGTCTAAGGTATGCAATTTATGTTTTGAGTATTAAGTTTTGCACTTGATTATCTTTGAGAGATATACTGACTTGATCGTCGGAGTGCCCCCGGGTGGAAGAACCGGAGCCTTTTCTTTTTGTTACAGGTTACTGAAGCCATCTATTCTGCCTGTGCTCCCCAGCTGGTTACTAAGCAGGCAGTGTGGTCAGATTTTCACCCACACAGATAGATTAATTGAGAATGCCGATAAATCATACAAACCTCCAAATAGAATTAAACTCAAATTTTGTAAGGGGAGTGAATAGTTTTCTTTATTAAGACTAAGAGAGTCTTGTTATAAGGAAGAAGAATTTTTGAAGGCTATAAAACCAAACACAATTAAAATTTTAAACAATTAAAGCTTACCTTGTGTGAAGTATCCATTTTTGGATGATCATGCTCCTTTGAGTTTCAATCCCTGTGATAATGCATAACTCATTTTCTAGTTAAAGCATTATGTATAACAATTAGTAAGCAGCAAAAAAAGAATCAAACTTGAAATCAATGTTAATGGGCAAATCTAACTAAAATTAAACCCAAGGTTCATTAAATAAAATTAAGTGTACTATTTTTTTAAGGGATTAAGTTTCTCACGGATGTGCCGTGAATACCAATTTTATGGACACCCTATCAAGTATTGACACGTCATGTATAATAAAGAAATAGTGGGATAGTTTATTTCATACCATAGAGAGAGAGAGAGAGTTGAAGCTTCCAATAACTTAACTACAGTTAGAGTTTTAAATAATATAAAATAAATTATAATGAATTGAATAAGGTTGAGCCCACTTTCAAAAGCTGCGCAAAAAGCTGTTCTTCTTCTCCGACGATCAAAAACTCAGACCTCAACTCCATCTTCTCCGGCAAGAAGAAATCGAGACCATCAAACGTGCATATAATCTAGTGAGTTGTTTGATTATCTCAGTTTTTCTCCTTTTATATTTTTTGAAACAATTTTTCGAATCGTGATATACATTAAAATTATATGGAACAATTTTGATCGGGTCGCAAAGGAGAGTGGGTTTGGCAAGAGCAAAGGATGAACCATCATTCACCATTAACTGAATGTTCATCTCAATATCATTTTGTATATTGGATTACAAAATTACTCTTAGCCTTTGTTTTAGTTTTTTTGTCTTTCTTTCTTTTATTGTCTTTGGATTAAAGATTGGCCTATGAACTCATCCTTAGGAACCCATAATTTACCTTAAACGGGTTTGTGTGGTAAAGATTAAATTGATGAATTACGGGGTC